CTGTGTGCAGCGCACAGTCCGCACAGCGAAAAATAATCACTGACGATTGCTAAGTTGGTACAAACAACCCTAATTAGGATTGTCAGTAAAATTTTGCATCTATAAATTCTGCTCTTTTAATACATTAGCTTAAATTCATTTTAAACGATAACGATAAATAAAACGATAATTATCATTACCAACGTAATTTTGATGAATTTAGTAAATATAACAAAAAGATGGATATCTACTTTAGATACCCCTTCAAATATAGAACGCGCTAAAAGATGGATAAAAAATTTTTCTAAAGATTCAATTCCCAAAGGTAAATTTATAAATATTTTGTTACTTTATGAACTTGTCTTTTTTACCATGTGATTTCTTTAAAAAACTTGAACAGATATGTTAACCATTACCTTCGCTCGAAGTAGTGGTCCTGGTGGTCAAAATGTAAACAAGGGTAACTATTTTATTATGTAAATAAATCAATTTTTCTTTTGTTAATTAAAGATGAACTCTAACATATTTTTTTTTAATGATCCAGTTAACACGAAAGTAGACCTACGATTTAATTTGGACCAGGCATCTTGGATACCCGAATACGCACGCAAGAAACTAGCGATCCAAGTAGCAAAATAAATTATAAATCTTTTTAATTTATTGGTTATAAAATATTTCTAGCAAAATTTGTGTTATTGTTAGGAATCAAATCGAATAAACAAAAGGGGTGAATTTGTTATAACTTCTGAAACAACACGCTCACAAGTTAAAAATATTGAAGATTGTATAGACAAATTGTATGAAATTATAGTAAAAGCTGCTGAAATTCCAAAAGGTCCGAGTGAAGAAACATTACAAAGAATTGAAAAACTGTGAGTATTTATGTGTTTGATATATATATGTTTGTAAAAGAAATCAGGTGGTTTGTTGCTTTGATTGTATGCTTCTTTTTATAAAATATAGTCAAGAAAAGGAGAATCAGAAACGAAAATTAGACAAACAATTTAGATCTCAGAAAAAATCTGGACGTAAATATTCTGATGATTTATAAAATGTAGCTGTTTGCAATAATACCAAGGATATTTGATTAGTACGTACTTAATATCAATATCCCGGATTTTATTTATATTTGAACCTGGCTAGAATTAGTGAGCTAATTTTATACTTATTTAGACAAAAATACTTATTTACAAGAATTATGTAATGTAAGAGTATTAAAATTTTTATTTTAATTATGTGACGGATTAAAATGAAATCAGATTAAAATGAAATGGGAGATAATATAAAATAGACAAATTTTTGGTATGCATTTTTTAGCATTTTTTTATGGTTAGGATTAGGGTTTAGGGTATGTTTAATAATGAACAAGTATAAGTGGGTTTTAGGGGGGACAAATAGAAACCCCTCATTTCATTTTAATCCGATTTCATTATGATCCGCGACAATTAATATACCGTAATTATAACTAGTGTTTGTACTCGGTCAAAAAAATGTTACTCGGTTAACCGACAAGTAAACCTATAGGTTACTCGGGTAATTAACAGATATACTCAGCATAGAAGACTTTTAGTTTAATTGAATGTTATCCCAAAATTTGTTATCCACGAATACGAATTGGAAAGCTTGGGACTCAAAAAATTTTAAAGTGTGTTTCATTTTATAAACTATTAAAGTAATTTGGTAATCTACAAAATAATTTGGAAGTTAGATGAGAGGTATGTTTGAACTTTTAAGTTTAGCAAATAGGTATTATAAAGTAATTAAACATGTGCTGGGTAAAACCAGCAAATTGGGATACAGAAGCTTGCTTAGCAAGATCTGAACAGAGAGGTAGCACAGATCTTCAACAGTATTACCTAATATTCTGAAAAGAGGGAACCAAACAGCAGAAAAAAGAGTAATCAAATAAGACTGAAGTGTTAGACAAAGCACTTTACTAACCAGGCCACTGGGCAAGTAACTGGAGGAAAAGGACCTAATTGTGGGTATCAGGGGCAGGTTACAGCCCTTTTGGGCTATCTGAATTGGAAGTTTGAGAAACTGGAAGTAGAGTTTAGTTTGGGAAACCGGAAGTATAGGTTGTTAAATGTGTACTGGGATTTAAGCAAACTTTGCAAGAGCACAGAGTAAATAACAGTAGTGGCCTCAGCTCACAAATACTTGTTCTCGGACTTAGCATAAGTTACCGAAAACCTAGATGATACATGTATAGGACATAGACTACTCTAGTAGGTTTACTACAAGGTCAAAAAACCTCCTATATAGAAGTGTGTGTTCACTTTAAAGACTTAGCAGGCCTTAGCAGCAGGTTTCTCTTTAGACAAGATATCCGATGACGTGAAGTTGATCAGAAAGTTTAATTGGGTAACTCAAGTAATAGTGGGTTGCAAGTATGGCATTTAGTATAGAATCTAGTAATAGATAAACTATTTAAATTAAATGCTCAAAAGGCACAGGTATAACTAGAATATACTCTCATTAATATAACAAGATCAGGTGTAGTCTATATGACTGTGCTGGTATTGACCCAAAAGTTCAATAAACCATGCAAGACCTGTGAGTAATCACCTTAACATTTAAAAAAAAAAATATATATACAGTATATAATAATCTAAATGCAATAGATATTTTTTTATTTGTTGAATCCATCAATTTTACATATTATAAATACATTAAAAATATTGTGAATGAAAAATGGAGTGACTTGTTATAAATATGATGGTTTCTCATACGTATCTAATAAAATCAAGTACTGGTTCTAAACTCAACACTGTATTACTTTCTATACTATCGCTACTTAATCTGTTGTTTTTCGCTGCTTCCATTGGTTGATGATATAATTTGTTTCTTAAATCGTTTGATCTGTCTTAATCTATCTTTCTAATTTGATACATATTTCATATTTCTTAGTCCACTGCTTTGTTGAAATACTTAAGAAAATATATTTGCATGTAAAACTATTTGACGCGCAAATGCTGGTAAAAATTCTGAAGATATCATCTTAAATTCTGTAATAGGTCCAATAAAAGCGGATTCAATATATTAAAGCACAATATGTAAAATTAGTGGTTTGAACTTACAAATGTAAATTTGTATTTTCGTTCTCAATAGAATATTCCCATCTCAACTTTCTTGCTTTTTTAAGATCAGATCTTGGTTCTTTTTAATATCATTAAAAATCAATTAATTAGAAAATCAAGTAAATAATAATCTTCTTCAGCCAGAACACTATTCCGTGCCTAGAACTAATCTACATGGTCATGAGTAAACAAACGACCTAACGGTTTTTGTCCCTCATGCCACGTTATA